CTGGGGATTCGAACCCGCCACCTTAGGTGTACGTGGCTGGCGCCTTAGCCGGTTGAGCCATAGGCGCCGAGCCTGATGGTTTGTTTTGTTTCTGGTTTTTGGAGACAGAGTCTGACTCTCTTGCCCCAGGCTGGAATGCCCTGGCATCAGCCTATAGCACACAGCAACCTCAAACTCCTTAGCTCAAGTGATCCTCCTGCCTCATACTCTCAAGTAGCTGGAACTACAGGCATGTGCCACAATGTACAGCTAATTTTTTCTATTTTTAGTAGAGACAGGGATATTGCTCTTGGTCAGGCTGGTCTCAAACTCTTGAGCTGAAGCAGCCCTTCACCCTTGACCTCCCAAGAGTGCTAGGTTTACAGGTGTGACCAACCGTGACCAGCGCTTGATAGGTTTTTTTTTCCTTGTTGCTCCGCTGTCTGTTAGTATCATTGTTTCCAATGAGAAATTTTCTCTTCCCTTCTGTGTAAAGTGATTTTTTCCTATCTGCTTGGCATTGTTTTCTTTACGTTTTTTTTAACTTGTATTTTTTGAGCTTTTTGGATCCATGGGCTTACGGTTTTAATCAGAGTTTTGAACATTTCTGCCTTATTTCTTCAAATATTTTTTCTGCCTTCTGCACCTTCAGACACCAGTTATACAGATATTAAGCCTTTTAAAGTTTCCTCACTCTTACATGTTTTTTTTTCTATCATTATTTTAGCCTTCTATGTTTTATTTTGAATATTTATTGCTGGGTCTTCAGATTCATTTATCTTTCTTCTGCAGTGTTTAATTTGCTGTTAATTCCACGTAGTGTATTTTACATCTAAGATAGTTTATATTTCTAGGAGTTCTATCAGGTTTATTTAAAATATCTTAACAAGTCTCTGTTTCTTTTCTCCTCTTTTTTTTTTTTTGAGTCAGGGTCTCATTCTGTCACTAGGGCTAGAGAGCACTGGTGTCATCCTAGCTCCCAGTAACCTCAAACTCCTGGGCTGAAGTGATCCTCCTTCCTCAGCCTGTGAAGTAGCTGGGACTACAGGCATGTGCCACCAGGCCTGGCTGATTTTCCTACATTTTGAGTATATGGCATATAGTTAAAATTACTGCTTTAATGTCTTTGGTTACTAATTTTATCATCTGTATCAATTCTAGATAAGTTTTGGTTGACCTGCTTTTTGTTGTCACTCTGGGTCATGTTTTCCTGCTTCTTTGTAGGCTAATTGTAAAATTTGATTATATACCAAATATTGTGAATTTTACCTTGTTGGGTGATATTTTCTTATAAATATGCCTTAGCTTTGTTTTGGCATGCAGTTAAGTTTGTTGGAAAGAATTCAATCATTTCATGTCTTTGTAAGTTTTGTTAGGCATTTAATCTAGGGTTCATATAATCTATTGAGGCAAAACCCTTTTGAGTGTTCTATCCAATGTCATATGAATTGTAAGGTTTTCTGTTCTTACTGATGGGAATAGGTACCGTTCTAGGCCCTTTAAGTTGTGGCTGTTGTTTTCCCTACTTCTTTCCAGTGATTGTTTGTCCCTCTTAACAATGAATAGATATATAGATGTCACACTGATGGTTGGACTTGTTTTTGATTCGAAACAGAAATAGCTCAGCTTTTCACCATTTAGTGTGATGTTCCCTGTTGGCTTTAAAGTTTTTTTTTTATTATTTTTTTTTTTTGAATAAGGAATTTCCCTCTGTTTTCTGTGAGTTTTTAAAATCATAGGTGCTTATCAGTTTTTATCCAGTTTTTTCTATCTGTTGAATGTTCATTTTCTTTTCTCCATTATATTGTTATTGTGGCTTTTTACATTAATGTTTGTGTTTTAAACTGACTTTGGAGTCCCAGAATAAACATAACCTCATTTTGTAGTAATATTCTTTTATTGCTCATTTTGGTTTGCTTAATTTTATTTACATTCTTTGTGTCTGTATTCATAAATGAGGCTGGTCTGTAATGGAAAAAAAAAAGCCCAATTAAAACAAAAACCCTGTAATGTCCCTGTGGAGTTTTGGCATCAAGGTTATGCTGGCCTCATCATATGAATTGATGAGTGTTTCTTCTCTTTCCCTTCTCTGCTGTGTGCTTAAGATTGACTTACTTCTTAATTTTTTATAGAAATTGCCAGTAAAACCATCTGATCCTAAAGTTTTCTTCATTTCTAATGAAAGCTTTAAATTTTGGATTTATTTCCTTCATTATAGGATTGTTTAGATTTTCTATTTATTCTTCTTAGTTTTGGTAAGTTTTTTTCCCCTAGAGACTTATCTATATTTATTGGCATGATATTATTCATAAGATCTTCTTTTAAAATTTAGGTATGACATGTATAGTATAGTGTATGGTGTTAAATTCAACAGTTTTCTTTAATGCATATGTTTATCTCTGTATGTTTTTGTAATCAACGAGAGCAAGATATAGATATCTCTGTCACTTGTAGAGGTTCCTCCTTAGTCTCTTCTAGGCCAAGTTCTATAGATAACCATTATTTTGCTCTTTGTTGCCCCAGATTTAGTTTTTCTTTTTAAACATCATGTAACTAGAATGATAGATACTTTTTTGTGTCTGGTTTATTTTGCTCAGCGTATGTCTGTAAGGTTCATTTTTGTTATTGCTTGTGGTAGTAGTTCTCATCCTATTGCATGAATATAAGAAAGTTTATATATTCTTTTATTTTTGGTCTTTGTTAGGAATAATGCTGCTGTGAATGTTGCTTTTACATACCTCTTGGAAGAAATAAAGTCTCATCTTTCATGGGTAAATACCTAGAAAGGAATTAAGGAGTCATAGGTTATGAATGCTTAGCTTTTGGTATAGCACCTATACCAATTTTCTCTCCCAGAATCAGTGTATTAGTATTTAAGTGTTCTACCCTTTGCCAACATTTGGGTATTAGTATTTTGGTATAGCACCTATACCAGTTTTCTCTCCCAGAAACAGTATATTAGTATTTCAGTGTTCTACCCTTTGCCAGCATTTGGGTATTTTGAGTCTTTTAAAATTTAGCCCTCGGTGAGAGTATATTGGCATGACATTTTGATTTTAATTTGCATTGCCTGATAATGTGGTAATGGTGAGATGTTTTTTCATTTGCTTTCCTGATCACATAGATGCCCATATTTTTGCCTGTTTAAGTCTTTTTTCCAGTTTAAATGGAAATGGGATGTCAGTCTTCTTTTTGATTTATAGTAGTTTTTAAAATATATTTTATGCTTTCTTATTGTATGTATGTATTGCAGCTATCTTCTAATCTGTGGCTGACTTTTTATTCCCTTAATATTATCTTTTGATGAACAGAAGTTCTTCATTTTAATGAAGTACAGTTTATCAATATTCTATGTGTTTAGTGTTCTTTGTGTTGACGAAATCTTTGCCTAATCTGAAGTTATAAAGACATTGTGTCTTTTCATTCTTCCAGCTTTATTGTTTTATATTTCATATCTGGGTCTAGCATATATGTTTACATTTGATATGAAGTAATGATAGAAGTTCATTTTTTAATGTGGATATTGGAACTATTTATTGAAGTGATATGTGGCTCTGTTCGTTCTAACGGTCTGTTTGCCTATTTCTGTGCTAGTGATATACCCTCTTTATTGCTGTAACTTTCCAGGCAAGTCTTGGTATTTGGTAATGTAGATCTTCCAGCTAAATTATTGTTCTTTAAGATTGTCTTAGCTAATCTGCACCTTTTCCATTTCCATATACATTTTAGACTCAGCCCATCAATTTAAATTTAAAAGAAAAGTAGTTTTCATCAAATTTATGCCAAATCTTTAAATGTGGAGAAAACTGGCTCGGCACCTATGGCTCAAGTGGCTAAGGTGCCAGCCACACATCTAAGGTGGTAGGTTCAAATCTGGCCTGGACCCGCCAAACAACAATGACAGCTGCAACCAAAAAATAGCCGGGCATTGTGGTGGGTGCCTGTGGTCCCAGCTACTTGGGAGGCTGAGGCAAGAGACTCGCTTGAGCCCAGGAGTTGGAGGTTGCTGTCAGTTGTGATACCACGGCACTCTACCCAGGGTGACAGCTTGAGGTGCTGTCTCAAAAAAAAAATTGGAGAAAACTGTTACTGTATAATATTGAGCCTTCCAACTATGAGCTTAGTGTATATACTTTAATTTGTGTAATCTTTGATTTCTCTTAGTAATGTATTATAATTTTCATTGTAGCAGCCCTGTACATCTTTTAGTTTTATTTCTTGGTATTTGATGTCTTTTGGTGCTGTATTAAATACTATGATTTAGATTTCATTTTTTTTACTTGTTTGTTTGTTTATTTATTTTGAGACAGTTTCACTATGTTCCATTGCTAGAGTGTGGTGGCATCATAGCTCACAGCAACCTCAAACTCTTTGGCTTAAGTGATTCTCTTGCTTCAGCCTCTCAAGTCGCTGGGACTGTAGGCTCCGACCATAATGCCTGGCTATTTTTTTGTTGTAGTTGTCATTGTTGTTTGACAGGCCTGGGTTGGGTTTGAACCTGCTAGGCCCGGTGTATGTGGCTGGCACCCTAACCACTAAGCTACAGGCGCCAAGCGTATTACTTTGTTTTTTTTTTTTTTTTTTTTTTATTTTATAATCACAAAGAGACCACTTATTTTTTTATTCATAACTCTCTACATACATACAGTATTGCACAAATTATAAGTGGATCAACAATTATATTAATGATACAAAGTCATGAGCATTTACATAAAACTACCACTCTAGGTTTTGGTGCATTGTGTGCCAGGTATTTTAGTAAATAAAAACAAACAAAAGAACTCAGCTACTCAAATTCGTGAGAATCAGCTTTCAGGAGAAATATACATGTCATCTCACAGAATATTTAATATGTCAAACTCAGGAAAATCAATAATTAAGTGTCAAAAGGAGCACTTTCAAAAGAAATGTTGATGACAAAAATGTTAGGTTAAAATATTGTTTAAAAAGTTCACCAATTGGACTGAGGAACCAGAAAGTGTGCGCATATTGGGAATTTTAAGAAAACACCCCTAGGTTTTTCTTCACAATTATGACTACATTCCCAGTAATTCTGGGTTGCCTCAATGTCTTCCCTGGTAGTATAAACCAGTTTCAAAGTTTAAAGAAACAAGATGGTAATTCACATAAAAGAGTTTTAAAATAAGATTCTTCTCAAAATAAAACTAATATGATCTTCATCAAATTAAAAAGAAATTCTATCCGTATGTTGACCAGAAAAAAAAAGCCAGATCACCGTTTACCTTAACAGACTGTCTCAGAGGGGACGGCACTAGGACGGGGAAAGTGGTGGAGTTCCCACTCACCCCTGAGGGTAGACAAAAGCCCACTGGTGTCCTCATGTACAGAACTGAGTGGGATGGGCTAAATGGCTTTTGAGAGACTTTTCAACTAAAAGAATCAAAGTCAGCCTGAGATCTCATTTGGTGTGGACATTTAGGGTGGCAAATAAAATGGATTTAGAAACAAATGGATCAAGTATTTGCTACCATCACTATAGTTCAAGAAAATACTTTGTACTGTTAAAGGGCATGCAAATTTACATCCAACAATGAAATTTTTGATAAAAATGTAAACAGGTTATGCAAAATAGGGTGAAAAAATAATGTACCACCACGCTACTACCAGCAGACAGGACTTCCTATTTCTGAATTTTAGGAGACACCAATTTAATTGGGAAAAATGCGGGGAGATGCACATTCAAGCCATTCAGTCCATTTCATGAACAGACTGATGGGTGCCCAGGAAGGCCAAATCCAATAAAAGTGACTCTAAAAAAAAGGGTACAAGAAAGAGTTAAGTGCAGGGTAGGACTTCTTTCTTTACCACAAAAGAAAAATAATCCAAAGAGAGAAATGGCATTTCATCTTTTATCCCCTACGGAGAATCCAAATATCACTTCTTCCTGAATCTAACACACTAGCTTCATTTTCAAAATGCATCACTTTATTTTCCTTACAAGGCAGCCACACATTGAGCAGGTGACAGTCACATGATTTCTTCAGTAAGCCCCAAGGCATCCATGAGTGTTGCTGGAGCTAATAGCCAAAGGAGTCCTCAGGTTTCAGATATTAAAGCTTTCCCCACAGCCACAAGTTCCTTTGATGTTTGGGTTATTAAAGACAAACTCACTGGATAACTTGTCTTCCACATAGTCCATTTCTGTTCCCAGAAGTGTTAGCTGTGCTTTCTTTTCAATGAATACTCTCACTCCGTCTTGAACAACTTCTTCATCAGAATCTCCTTTTGTTTTTGTATATTCTAGGGTGTAAGAAAGACCATTACACCCTCTAGTTCGAACACCGACTTTCACGCCTACATGTTCAGGCTTATCTTTAAGAAGTTGTTTTATCTTGTTCACTGCAGAAGGTGTCAGTGTGAGAGCGGCCCGGGTGGGCTGCAGCTTCCGCTTGCTCACAGCCCGGACAGTGGCCCGGACTAAGGAAGCCGACATCTTCGCCACTCCGGCGCCCAGGTGCCTCGGGCCGGAGCTCGGCAACCTCAACCTCTCTCCATGGACACGGCTGGCGCATTCAAGCGTATTACTTTGAATGTAGAAATAAAATTAATTTGAGCTGAATGTGGTTGCTACGTTTATAATCCCAGGAACTTGGGAGGCTGACATTGGAGGATCACTTGAAGCTAAGAGTTCCCAAGACCAGCCTCGGCAACATGGTTTGACCCTGTCTCTAAAAAAATTTAACAGGGCATGGTAACATGTGCCTTATAGCCCCAGCTACTTGGGAATCTGAGGTGAGAGGATTGCTTGAGTCCAGGAGTGGACTGGGATTGCTCCACTATTGTTCCAGCCTTTTTGACAGAGGAAGACCCTATCACTAAAAACAATATAGGTAATTGTTATATGTTGACCTTATGTGAGTTTTAAAGCTTTTGTGAGCTTGCTGAATTCATAGAGTCTTTTACATGGTACCCAGTCATGTCATGTATAAATAACGACAGGTTTACTTCTTCATTTCTAATCGTTATAATTCTTACTTGACTTTTCTTGCTTACTTTCACTTGTAGGATCTCTGATACAATGTTGAGTAGATGTGATGATTGTTGACATTCTTCTCTTTTTCTAGACATCAAAGGCAAAACATACAATATTTTGCCACTAGGATTGGCCCCTGTGGCTCAAGTGGCTAAGGCGCCAGCCACATGCACCTAAGGTGGTGGGTTCAAGTCCAGCTCGGGCCCTCCAGACAACAATGATGGCTGCAACCAAAAAATGGCCAGGCATTATGGCGGGCGCCTGTGGTCCCAGCTACTTGGGAGGCTGAGGCAGGAGTCTCGCTTGAGCCCAGGAGTTGGAGGTTGCTGTGAGC